AGAAACATCCATCTTAACTGAACGTTTAAATTATCTAGCTATCTAGCTCAGTCTTTATCTAATTTAAAAAATCTATCTATCATCTTAATCCCAACACTCACTTTTCCATCTACACAAATCTATCTAACAATCTACGAAAAATCACCATCCATCTATCTATCTACGAAAGGCAATCCCATCTAGCCATCCAGAGAACTCTATCTTGTTCGAACGAGGGAGGGGAGGGGATCTATCTATCCATCTTTGCCCGTTCATCCTAAGACTTTCCATCGATCTATCTAGTATTTATAGAAAAGGCACAGGGGTGCTAAATCTATTATCGGTGGTGGGGGAAGTCACTGTATCTATCGAGATGCCAGGTTAAAAACACTAATATTGCATGAAATCTTCTTTGGATTTTATCAGTGTTTCATCTCTAAATATATAATTCATCTATCTATTCCATTCACCATTCTATCCATCTATCTATCTATTTGGTTTGTTTTGTTTTAAATCTATATCATCTACAATGGGTTTATTTAATGCCGATCAAAATTTCCCTTTCCTTTGTTTTCAAAATGTATAGCTTCTGTAATATTTAAAAATAATGTATATGTTTAAATTTGTTTTATTTTATCTAGCTAGCTATTAAACTCAATGGGTCTGTTATTTATTATTGACATTCATTCATTCATTTTTCATTGCTGCTAATATTTTCGTTTTTAACTGAACTGGTATTAAAATTTAAAAAAAAACATCTATTTTACACTTTCAAAACGAATGGCACCCCTTGAGAACTCAGGAACGAGGGTCAACTATTTGAAGAATTTCCACGAAAGTAGCTGGGCACCCTGGAACGTTACGGTGGTAAGTCACTGTAGCCCAGGGTCATTGCAGATCTTCTTGGATTTTATCACCTAAATAACATCAGCAATTATAGGTGATTTGGTGGTTCCATCGACAAAATCCTCAAAAATGTATAGCTCCTGATAATGATAGGTTTTGCTGCATGGATTTAATGTTGACAAGATTTTTATTGCTGCTAATATTTTCGTTTTTCATATTAAAATCTATTTTTTACACTTTCGTCAGGTTTGGGGTCAACTATTTGCCCATAGCTGGGACCCAAACAGGTGCTACCACTCCGGGTCATGGTGGACCTGGGAACATCAGCAATTAAGAGGTTGTTCCACGCTCCTCAAAACCTCCTGATCAGAGGCCTTGCTGCTGGACGTAGTTTATCGTCTTACCTAGGATGCGGATGCAGTTTATCGTCATACTCAGGACGCTTACACAAGTTTGGGTGTTAACTATTTGGCCATAGCTGGGACCCTAACAGGTGATACCACTCCGGATCAGGGTAGACCTGGGTACACCAGCAATTAAGAGGTGGTTCCACGGTCCAGGCCATAGGTGAGAGAAACTTATAAATGTGTAAGAAAACTATCTCCCCAAGCTCAAGGGCTATGGTGTATATAGACGAATATCTGGCTTAATGAAATTCTTCTTAATAAAAAGTGTCATGAACATCGTATTGAGTGGACGCGCTTCAAATTGATTTGACATTAATGCGGGGACTTCAGGTCTCTGTCCTCGGACCTTCATTTTTATCTATCAACGTCCTTCCCGATTTCCCCAGCACCCCAACAAATTGTCTAGCATGACACAGAGAACGAACTATCTTAGCAGCAGACCTAGCAATTGATTCGATATAATCTTTTCAATTCATGCCAGCAGAAAGCATAATGAGTCGCTCTCTTGGAGGTTAGCATCAGCCATGCTGGTGGAAGGCAGAAAAGATTCTTTTCCGTCGATTAATATAAAACAGTTTTGTTTTGGAGGCGTTAAAATTAATAAGACATTCCTTTCCTCAGTTTGATCAAAATTGAGTGCGTGACCTTGAGCCAGACTTATTATTCTTACCCAACTTCTTTTAAAAGTGATAAAATCCCTAACAATCTTGAATAATTGCCTAAGACGAAAAAGGCCATTATTTATCACAGGATTTAGGCTTCTTCTACGCCCCAGCAACTCAAAGGTTGCGTCACTCAGTTGCATATCCTGCCTCCGAATTAAACTGACGTGAATTCTGCCCAACGGATATTTTGCACGGGTCGAAATATCCCTGAATTAGACAGCGGAAAATTGTTCGCTACCCGGATGCTGAAATTTATTTTTCTCTTAGGCGTATGTTGATTTGGAAGGGGAAGTTTACAGGGACTGACTTCCGTCCATATGTTTGCATTGTTTAGAGAAATGAATTGATCTGGGAAAATAAACGTAGCTCTTCGCCATTTCACATATATGCTCATTATCTATCTATCTATCTATCTATCTATCTATCTATCTATCTATCTATCTCAGACCGTTTCTATGTATCTCAGTCTGTTTCTATCTATCTATCTATCTATCTCAGACTGTTTCTATCTATCTCAGTCTGTTTCTATCTATCTATCTATCTATCTATCTATCTGTTTCTATCTATCTATCTATCTATCTATCTATCTATCAGACTGTTATCTATCTATCTCAGACTGTTTCTATCTATCTATCTATCTATCTATCTATCTATCTAAATCTGTTTTTATCTAAACTGTTTCTATCTATCTATCTATCTATCTATCTATCTTATTATTATTGTTATTATTATTTTAAATATATTCATTGCACACACACAGACACAAAAACACAGACACAAAAACACACACACACACACACACACACACACACACACACACACACACACACACACACACACATATATATATATATATATATATATATATATGTATAAGATTAATAGTAAAATGTCATTTAGTTGATTGATGTTATGTTGACCCCAGGGTTTCCTAGACGAATCTTTTTGTAATTTTCAGTCTTTAACAATTGACTGTAGTTTTTCTCAGTTTTCATTGTCTTTATACACACACACATATATATATATATATTATATTGTATATTATACATATATATATATATATATATATATATGTATAAAGACAATGAAAACTGAGAAAAACTACAGTCAATTGTTAAAGACTGAAAAATTACAAAAAGATATATATATATATATATATATATAGAGAGAGAGAGAGATGCAAAGAGAGTGACTGTGAGAAAGAGAAGTAAAATATAATCAGTGTGGCCATAGGAATCAGCAGCGAATAGTGACTCTTAGTTTCTTGCCACAAGCCCTCTTTTGACAATGACCACTGGTACTTTCAAGGGCTCTCTATATAGGTCGCTGAGAAATTAAGGGGAGTCGGAGTGAAAGAGGACCCTGATCCTTTCAATTTCTTTTTTTTTTTTTTTGTCGAGACACCATTACTATACATTTGGCCGTTGAGTCTTGGAATGCATCCGCCTTTTGCTAACCACTCCCCTCATCAGATTGCTGTGAAAAGCTATGTTCGCCTACACCCTGAAGAACACCACACACACACACACACACAGAGACAGAGAGAGAGAGAGAGAGAGAGAGAGAGAGAGAGAGAGAGAGAGAGAGGGACTTGAGAGTTTCAAATGTCGACCTTCTAGAATATTTATTATATGCTGCAGGTTTCTTCTTCTTCTTCTTCTAATTATTATTATTATTAATAATAATAATAATAACAATAACAACAACAACAACAACATCCGGAATAGAGGTTCATCCCGTGTTTCCTATAATAGGATTGTGTTTCCGGTCTGTTCTAAAGTCTTTTTCATTCTCTTTCACTACTAGTAGCCCCTTGCGTCTTAATGGCATTATCGCCTTGAGAGTAGGAGGTGAGATATGGCCATCATCTCACCCAGTCGAAGATGATATCAAATGAAATAATAATAATAATGATAATATGATTCCTCATCATCACATCGTAATATGTGATACCATTCTTCTGTGATTATATAATACTTGCAGTTTTCGTCTGTTTAAACATTAATAGTTTTTAATAAATTTGAAAGGAACGTCACTAGCGATTGAACCAGTGACTCCAAAAGTTCAGCCTCACTAGTTTCTAGGGAGTGTGGTTTTTCTCTTTAGCTTTCGACCAAAGAACTTGTAGATACTTTGTTCACAGAATAGCTACACATTTCTTGGTTTAAGAAAGCAAAATAGAAAACTTGAAAGGCTATAAATGATGCCGAGAGAAGGGTATCAAAGATAAGGTTCGTATTATCTTATTTTGAATCGACACTATAAAAATTCCGATGACTTTTTGAGACGTCATTGAACAGTTGAACGTTGTCAAACGAAAAAGACAAAAAAATGTTTCCCTTTGATGATCTTGGAAAGTTTTGTGCTGATGGAGAACAAAGTCCAAAATTGTACAATACGTGATTTTGTATTAATTACGTGTCATGTGAGAATAAAAAAATGAGCGATAGAGAGATAGATAGATAGATAGAGAGAGAGAGAGATAGATAGATAGATAGATAGATAGAGAGAGATAGATAGATAGAGAGAGAGAGAGAGAGAGAGAGAGAGAGCGCATTTTGAATGTTTTGATGAGTATAAAGTTGTTGGTAGCAAAGCAGAAAAAAGAAAAACAAGAGGAAAGAGAAGATAAGTAAAGAAAGATAATAAGAAGTCGAAAAAGAGAAATAGAAAAAAAAAGAAAGAAAGCAAGAAGAAAAAAAAAAAAAGATGACAAAATACAAAATACAAGAATAAAGAAGAAGAAAGCGAGGTAAAGAATTTTAGAACAAGATCGAAGATCATCCTCCGGCTATAGATTCCAATATTCTCGACAAAATCCAAATAACACTCTGTAATGTCCTAACCTGGCATCTCGGCTTCAGTCACTTTCCCACCCACGTGACGTGGCTCCCCTCTCTCTTCTCTTTAAATATATAAATAAATACCATTCGTCCATGCATGAAATCTTACTGTCCTATCTGATCCTATCTAGTGATTTCACAGTGGAGGCTTGTATTTGTACTAAATCGATCATAAAATAGGCTCGACGTACAAAACGTTAGGAACTTGATATAATAGGTATTACGTAGAGTAATCTGGTTGTGGTTGCTGATACTTTCGTATTCGACTAACTGTCGTCCGACATCGACGCTATTTAGTAACTGCCCCCCGCAGTCACATGTGGCACAAGGCCGAATTTAATGTGGGGTTCTCGAGCGCGGAGGCTCGGCCAAAAAATCCCCGTACACCCTGCATAAACGGGATCGGGTTTGTCAACCTCCCCGGACGAAACTCTGCCCTTCGGCATCGACTCGTCCGGCTTCCTCTCTGCCCGAATTTTAGGTTATATAAATGAGTGTCTATAATCATACGATCCGTAAGAAACATTTAAAAATGTTATTCTTGAATTGTTATGTTTCTTTTTTTCATAATAAATATTGTTTAAAAAACGCTTGATCATTATGCACAAACTCAATAAAATAATCTTTTAATCAAAGCCACTAAGACATAAGCATTTATTGACTGTTGATAAGTAAAAAGTAAAAATAAGTAAAACGAGAAACATTATTATGGGGAGAGAAGAATAAAAGAAGAGGAATCAAAAAGACAGTAGATAACGATTGACATTGCATTTAAATTTTTGAAGATCAAAGTTGGCGTGAAAACATGAAGTCGGAAGAAATTTTCGCAATAGAGAAGTGCGAGAAAGCAAACTGTTAGCAAAGAATTTTGGTTAGGTTGAGTTTGTTTAACGGCACATCAATTCTTCATGGGTCATTTAATGCCGAAATTTAATTTTTCTTGGGAGCTTCAGTAAAATTTTTTTTTCAAAAATATATTGTTGGTAATTTTTCTCTTCCTTTTCCAATTTGCTGGCAATTTTGTTTTTTTTACTGTGAAAATGTATTGCTGGTATTCTTACTACAAAAATGTATTTTTATACGTTCATAATGTTTTGACCCCAGTTTGGGGGTTCACTAGATAGGACCTTAACAGGTGATACCACCCCAAGTCAAGGTAGGTCTGGGAACTACAGCAATTAATTGCTGGTTCTACGCTCCTCAAAACCTCACAGTCAAATGCTGCCGGATGTAGTTTATCGTCATACCCAGGACGGCCATAGAACTTACATCTCGATAAATGTAAAATGATGAGTCCTTTTTTTGGCAATTTAGTACTGCGCTTAAATTCATAAAGTCTGGTTACTATAGAGGAAAGTTGATCAGAACAATGACCATGAAAGTATTTATAGAAAAGGCAGAGGTAGGCTAAGTCACGACGGTGCGAAAACAGAAGCGAAAGACAAAGTGGCAGATAATTATGAATATAATATTCATTATAATGAAGATCAAGAAACAGACAGTGACAAAGAAATTAAAACGAAAAACAAAGCAGGAAAAATTTAAACTAAAAATGCAAGGAACATCATGTTCGTAAGAGAAAATGCTATAGAAATTGAATCAAAGAAACATAAAAGACCCAATCAAAAGCGAAGTTATAAGGAGCACAAAAGAACAAAAATCGACTCTGCGAAATTAAAAGCAAAGGAAAGAGACTAATAATAAAGAATTTTTGACTGAAAATATTGAAAGCGTCGATCACATTTGCTCACATTGATTCTTCCGGTGAGTGATAAAAAGAAAATGATGTTTTACTTGTCTGTCTGTATACTTGTCCTCGTTATTTCACACGCACGCATGCGCTATAGTGACTGTCATATCATTGCTTCCCACTCATAATTCGACCTGTGCGGTGACCGCAGCTGATTACTGTCGAGGACAGATATTCAAAAAAAGTACATCACCGCCACATTATACTTCTGAAAACACTGACATGTTTTCACAGCGGAGTTCTATTTCATATTCATGTTCACATTGAACAAACAAACCATTGGTCGCCTATTAGTTTTACTAATGAGGAATATGCATCTGACTTAGTCTGTCCACATCTATCTATCTATCTATCTATCTCAGTCTGTTCATATCAATCAATTTATCTCAGTCTGTTTCTATCTATCTATCTATCTATCTATCTATCTATCTATCTATCTATCTATCTCAGTCTGTTCATATCAATCAATTTATCTCAGTCTGTTTCTATCTATCTATCTATCTATCTATCTATCTATCTATCTATCTATCTATCTATCTATCTATCTATCTATCTCATCTATATCAATCAATTTATCAGTCTGTTTCTATCTATCTATCTATCTATCTATCTATCTATCTATCTATCTATCTATCTCAGTCTGGTCATTATCTATCTATTCCTACCACTCTACTCTTGTCTGGTCCTTCCTTCCTTCCTTCCTTCTTCCTTCTATCTATCTATCTATCTATCTATCTATCTATCTATCTATCTATCTATCTATCTAAGGGCAGATAGTGCTAATCGCCTAGATCACATAGTCGGTAATACTTACAACAGATTATATATATATATATATATATATATATATATATATATATATATAGCCTGAATATTACGTTCATGCATGAATCATTCGTTTTTGGTGTTGCCTTTTATATTTACTTATTATACATATACATATATATATATATATATATATATATATATATATATATATATATATAGAAAAAGTTTCAAATTGAAAATTATAATGTTTTATTTTATGAAAGTATTTATTTATATATATATTTTGATATTTCAAATTGTCCTCAATTTTTCATCAGAAATAACCGTTTGTTACAAATAAATTAAAATTACTGTTTGTTGGATATCCGAACAGTGACGTTCCATATCACGTGACGTCCGCGTCTCTCGAAGGACGCTACTTGCTAACAAACAGTAATTTTAATTTATTTGTAACAAACAGTTATTTCTGATGAAAAATTGAGGACAATTTGAAATATCATATATATATATATAAATAAATAAATACTTTCATAAAATAAAACATTATAATTTTCAATTTGAAACTTTTTCTATATATACATATTAAGAAAGTATACGTGGCTTCTCATTATGCTATATATATCAGAAGTTTCAAGTATAATAACGTTTGGAGTAATAAAAATGTCTGATTGAGAATGGATCCATTAATTTAGAGGCTGATTTCACACACACACGCACACATATATATTTATATGTGTGTGTGTGTGTGCGTGTGTGTATGTTAGCTGTTAATAGGTCATGGTTTGAGTCAAATTTATTATACATACTTACTGGAACCAATAGGTTTTTATGTAAAATTATTTTGTTCCTGATACAATGAAATATGCCTACACTTGTGTTCCCCCTCACTGGAATATGATTGGCTGGTGTCCGTCATAAATACAGACGGACGTGTAGGAGAATCAAAGAGCCTTAGTCTGAGAGCTAACTCTATAACGACGCCCATTGGACTACGCCATTGATCTACACTTCTTACCTGCGACTACGACGCGTACCAGTCGATTACTGCTACCGTATTCTACTTGGTTATAGTAGCCAAAACCACTTAGCTACTTCGTTCAAATAGATCCCTTTTCCGGAACATATCAGTTCCCGACGGGGAAAGTGTCGTTTTATTTGTTTTTGGTTATACAAAAATATATCTCAAAGTAACAATTTCTATTTGAAACCGTTCAGAATAAGATTATAATTTCTCTTTTATTATTGATATCAAGATAAGAAAAATGTTTTGAAAAATCAACTTTACAGAACATCTTCCCCAAAGATATCTTTTCTAGATTATATCATATATTTTCATTGCAAATTTAGAAGGATCAAGAGTCTGTTTATATTTCTGAGATGAGGTATCATGTACAGTATTTACATTAGTCGGACTATTGTCCTCATCTTTGTCGCCATATTTGTCACAACGTTTCGGCCGTTGTACGCTCCGGCCTTCTTCAGGTGGTTGGAATTTCGAACTGAATCCTTTATTTCGATCACTGGAGTAGACTGTTCTAGTTCCACGTACCATGTTTGATGGATGTCAGTTATCAGTTATCTCCTGCTAATTTTCCCTCTGAAAGTTCTCCACTGCCTTAACCAGGTATTGAACTCACCTTCTTTGGGTTTGTCACTGGATCTAACCAACGCCTTTATAAACTGTGCCATATGTCCTTGAGGACATATGGCACAGTGAATAGCAAGATCAAATAGGACATGTTTTTTATTTTATTTATTCATTTTCTTTTTTTACAGTACGGTTCACCTTGCGCAAGGCCCGGGTGCCACTCGAGGTAGAGGGTTACGTTAGGGGGTAGTTTATAGGAGAGGAAGATAACCGTTGACTCTAAACTTGAACAGGTTAAGATTGTAGTGATCGGGGAAACATCCTTTCAGGAGTCTGTTCCGTAGGGTAGTTATTCTCGGGAAGTACCTGCTTGCGTCGAACCTACTTCTCGGCGATGGAATACGTGGGGAATGTGGACGTTTTGCTACTATGTAAGTAGCTGGTGGAACGAGAAATGCAGTTAAAACCTATTGGTTCCGGTTCGTCTGAGCCTTTACCATGATACTAGCAAGAGCAGTGAGGGAATCGCCATATCCCGTCTGTGTGTGAGAGGCTAGAGAATAATTCTTCTGCAACAAGGACTCGGAGACGCTTTTGAACTCTATCAAGACTGGAAATAGGTCTGACCGGTTCCCGCCCAAATATGGCAACAGTACCCCATTTTCGGCGGGATTTGGCTCTTATGAAGGTAGAGGATAGCATGAGGGTTCAGGTACTTATTGGTTATTTTATTATTTCTTAGGCTACTAAATGCTGTTTATATCTAGATGTTGTTTTAGATAAAATAGCAATGACTATTCCGATGATTATTGTCGCACTAGGGGGATGCTGAAATTAAAATCACTCAGTGATGACAGAAGAACCGTTAAACTTGGACCTTCGTGTCTGCAAAACAAACCAAAAAAAAAAAAAACACAAAAAAACTAGTGTCAAAAGGACGGTCATTCCCATGACACCGCTATTATTTTAACTACCTTCACTCCTCGGCAATGTTTATTCTTTTAAAAAGCAATGATTAGAATTGTAATAAAACCTAAACATATGAAAGTGAATTTATATATTTTCTTTGTTCTTGAGAATTGACAACAAAATTAATAAACAATTTTTATTAGATTGTTTATTTACAATAATATTTTTTTATTTACAACATTCTAAAAACTAATACAATTGAAATAGACCCTTTTTATGTAGGTATATGACAGCACTGCGATGGCAAATTTTGTCCATTTTCAAGAGAAGTCGCTAATAGTTACCTTTGAGGTCTTCTTTGAACAGTCTAATATCAGTTTACATGTAAAGTGACAATGTATAAGAAGAAGGGTTGAAATTAATGCATGTAAGATATCACAACTCGAACATCATTCCTTGAAAGTCAGCCTATGAACTTTTCAGCCCACCCTCATACATGTAAAGTGACAATGTAGTTATTAAGAAGAAGGGTTGAAATTAATGCATGTAAGATATCACAACTCTAACATCATTCCTTGAAAGTCAGCCTATGAACTTTTCAGTCCACCCTCATACATGTAAAGTGACAATGTAGTTATTAAGAAGAAGGGTTGAAATTAATGCATGTAAGATATCACAACTCTAACATCACTCCTTGAAAGTCAGCCTAAACATTTCAGCCCACCCTCATTGTAAAGTCAATGTAATGAAGAAGGGTTTTTAATGCATGTAAGATCCACAACTCTAACATATTTGAAAGTCAAATGAACTTTTCAATCCACCCTATTAAGACAATGTAAAAGAAGTGAAATTAATACATGTTAACACAATACGAAGAGCTTTATATATGTAAAATATGTGCGATCTTAGTTTTGTTTAAATTAATTTCTTTTTGTAAAAATGATAATTAGAAAATGTCATGAAGCCATTTCTGATCTTAGGTTTCTGGCTGGGAATCGGAAGGAAATGTGTTTATAACAGAAATCAAAAGAAATAATAATAATAATAATAATAATAAAGAAAGTCAACAAATACAAAATGGAGTTTCAAGTGGGTACACAATACACCGGCTGAAGCTGCAAAATGCTTAAAAAAGACAGCAAAGACAAATGCAACCGACCAGATACAGAAGCGATGGCAAAATAAACCGCTTCATGGCTAATACTCTGCCCGTACCAAACAAGCTGACGTAGACAAAACCCGTACCCATCAGTGGCTACGTAGTGCAGGGTTGAAAGCTGAAACGGAAGGTTTTATCCTTGCTGCACAGGACCAATGCTTGCTAACTAGGAATTATCAAGCACATATACTAAAATATTGTGTTAGCCCAAAGTGCAGATTCTGTGATAAATATCCAGAAACAATTGATCATCTTGTATCAGGTTGCACGATATTGGCACCTACTGAGCATAAAAACCCGGCATGACAGAGTGGGCCAATATCTGCACTGGAAAATCTGCAACTTCTACGGGAAGGAAACTGAAAGAAACTGGTATGAACACCACCCAGACCCGGTTACGGAGATAGGACATGTCACAATTCTATGGGACTACACGATATACCCTGACAGAACAATCAAAGCCAACCGCCGAGACATTGTTATTAAAGACCACAAACAAAAAAAGTGCCTCCTTATTGATATGGCAGTCCCTGCAGACTGCAATGTATCTTTGAAGATATTCAAAAAGCTGTCGAATTACAAGGACATTGAAATAGAAATCTCAAAAATGTGGCACATGGGAACATCAACAATCACTTTAGTAGTTGGGACCCTAGGATTGGTTGTAAAAGACTCCAGTAGACTAATTGAAGTCCATGCCTCAAAGAAATACAAAAAATTGTTCTCACAAGTACAGCCCACACTTTACGGAGAGATTTATCTATTTAAAATATCTTTTTTTTTTTTGTCAGTGGAAAGTGTCCTGATGCCATTTCTAACCTTAGGTCTCTGTCCTGATGCGGCATTCACCCTGGGCGGATTGAGCCGGCTTCTTCCTGTTGTGAGAAGAAGATTCTTGGGATAAATTACAGAAGTAGGGTACTCAGGCCTACTCGGATAATGTTCTTGCTTGCCGCGGGGTTCCCACAGACGCAGAGACAGGAACGACCAGAAGCCGCCGGTTGCCGATGCAGACGCTCCTTGGATTTTCACCAGAGCCCTTGTTAGCCGGCGTGAGTGTCAGACCTGTCCGCCTTGGGTGGCCCTACCAGGAACGAAGTTCCGGACGGCATAGCTCTGACACTACCGTTTGCACCCCCCACCGACTGTGAGGTAAGGGTTGGACTTTGGGGGCTCACAGTACCAGGTGTTCCCAAGCGGTCCCCCATCTAAGTACTGACCTGGCTCTACGATGCTTAACTTCGGTGATCGAACGAGAACCGGTGTTTCAGCGTGATTTGACCGTAAGCAAAGTCTCTGGGCGGGACCCAGAAAGAAATGTGTAAACTCCAGAAATCAAAGGAATAATAATAATAATAATAATAATAAGAAGAAGAAGAAGAAGAAGAAGAAGAAGAAGGGACATTGCGTACGATAAAGAAACTGAGTATAATTTCTGGTCACATCAGCATCTCAGAGGTACAAAAGTTTACTTTGTGAGGAACTGCACATCTCATCCGCAAAATTGAAACGAAACGGCCCAAATATACATACATAACGCTCCATTAGTGTCGCTTTACCCATAGACCCCGGAGTGGACTTAGTAATTAAGCACTTAAAATCGCTCTCTGGCATGATGACACCACATATAAGGCTCAAATAATACCGATGTACACGGCTATTTCAAAGCTATAAATGTATTTATGTTTATTTTCTATGTTGATACTTATTCCTTTTAACGAGATTTTGCGCATGCGTGTGATTATATGTGTAACTGCGCCCACATATAGTTTCCGTGTGCGTGTAACTAGAGAAAGTTTTGAAGATGAGAGTGCAGGGTGGTTTTGTGAAACCCAGAACTAAGGTCAGTACGTCGTTCGTGCTTGTCAGTACAACTGGGTGATGTGCATTCCACAAGTCGGTGTCAATTGTATAGCATTCCTTCCAGATTTATCTTCTGGCTGTTCGCCATATTTCATGAGCGGATCTATCTTGTGTAAGAGTGTCACGAAAGTAGCAAAAACCTTCACTTATCCATCAGATTTTGGTAGCTTTTGCAGCAAGACAAAATATTTTGTTCCTTGTCATTTTAATCCCAAAGCTACTTACCTTTCTTTCTTTTTTCTTTCATTCTTCGCTTTTTTCTTTTTTTCTTTGCTATTTTTCTTTTATCGTCGTTGTTTCATTTATTCATTCCTCTTTTTTTCGATGTTCTTTTCCTCCTTTTCTTTCTTTCTTTCTTTCTTTCTTTCTTTCTTTCTTTCTTTCTTTCTTTCTTTCCTGATCTTATTTTCTTCTTTTTCTAGTCTTTCTTTCTTTCTTTCTTATTTTCTTCTTTTTCTATTCTTTCTTTTTCTTTCATTCATCGCTTTTCTTCTTTCTTCTTCGTTCTTTTATTTATTCCTCTTTTTTCGATGTTCTTCTCCGTCTTCTCTTTCTTTTTTCTTTCTTTCTTTCTTTCTTTCTTTCTTTCTTTCTTTCGTTGCTGTTCTTATTTTCTTCGTTTTCTATTTTCTTCTTTCTTTCTTTTTCTTTCATTCTTCGCTTTTCTTTTTTTCTTTCTCCGCTTTTCTTCTTTCTTTTATTTATTCCTCTTTTTTCGATGCTCTTTTCCTCCTTCTCTTTCTTTCTTTCTTTCTTCCTTTCTTTCTTTCATTCTTTCTTTCTTTCTTTTCTTTTTTCTTTCTGTCCTTGATTTTCTTCTTGTTTATTTCTTATATTTATATTTATTCTCCTTTCCTTTTTTTACGATAATTCTTTCTTTCTTTCTTTCTTTCTTTCTTTCTTTCTTTCTTTCTTTCTTTCTTTATTCGATCTCTCGAATGATCTTCCGTTAATCTATATATACACTGTTCATTACCGAGTTATATATTTTTTTTTTTTGCTATTTACTTTCTGTATCGTCTATGAAGTACATCGGAGACAAAAATACAAAACAGTCCTTGTTTTTACCGACGAACGAGGCAATTATTTCTGTAACTAAAATGCCGCCTATTTACGTATCATGTGAAGAAACTCGTGTAAAATAGCCCGACCTTGACATATGGAAATTGCTCTTGGTTCTCTTCACAGAAATGAATTGATTTTTGAAAATAATCCGCGATGTATGTATATATATATATATATATATATATATATATATATATATATATATATATATATGTATATATATATATATATATATATATATATATATATATATATATATAATAATTATATATAATATATATATAAAAAAATAATTAACACTAATATTCCGCGGTCATAATTTATTCCATTGGAATTGTAAATACGATCCAATTCATATATATATATATATATATATATATATATATATATATATACACACACACATAAAGACATATCTACTAGATGACCTACTATACTTTGTAAAGAAACGAAACTATATATATATAATTTCATGTATATATATATATATATATATATATATATATATATATATTTTCAATATATATATATTTATTTAGATCCTTACACTCTGGGGGATTGATTGATTTGGTTTTGGAATTTTTATGATTTATCATTGTGTGTCGGAAATAATATTCGGGTTGTAGGAAATCGTTTACGGCACCCGGTGTTCCCAAACTGTCCTCCATCTAGGTATGCATGGAACTTGATTCTTATATATATATATATATATATATATATATACGAGTACTAGTAATCAAATACAGTATTTTCAAATAGTGGTCATTGCAGTGTTGAGCGAATAATATATATTTAAAAATTATAACATTTGTATGTTATTATAACATCACCACAAACATAGCCATTTCCTTTCAGCACTTCTGGTGTCGTGGGAAGTGATGGTGTTGCAAGTAAAATATAAAAGAAACTTTTAATTTACTTGCAGTACCATCACTTGACAAGACCCGAGAATTGTTCAAACAAAAGTGATGTCATATATATATATATATATATATATATATATATATATATATATATATATATATTATGTCCTCCTCCTCCCTCAATACAAAGTATGCTTGAGAGAGATATGAAATTAATCCCTCTCTATACTCTACCATGTCTCACTAACCACCCCTTTTACACTCTCTGTTAAATTATAAAAACTTACACTACCCATCAATTTTAATTTTTCGTTTCATTTTTGGAAGTGCTATCTGATGATCCTGCGTCCTTTAAAAGGGCTCTGGAGAAATAAATTATTATAATGGTACCTTAAAGTGGTCTTTTTTTTCTATATATATATATATATATATATATATATATATATACATATATACACACACACACCAAATATATATATATATATATATATATATATATATATATATATATATATATATATATATATATATATATATTTGGGGCTCACAGAAAAAAAATCGATTCACTAAGTATAATTGGATGACTTACCGCGACCTCCTAATTAAGGTTTTCGCTTGTGAGTGAAAAAGATTGATTTAAAAAAAAAAATGAATTGCAAATGCCTTTGTTGGGGCCGGTCTCTTTTTGCTCGTGATGTGCCATATAACCACATCTAACTGCCCCCTGCTGGTTTTTGTCAGTGCCAATGATGGGCGTGACCGCGTCGCCTTAAAACGAGAACCAAGGAGAACCTCCTATGGATAAAAAAAAAATCAAACAAACAAACGAACACAGCAACTGAAGCGAGTCAAATTGAATCGCCACGTGGAACCGAAAAATGATAAAGAGATTTATTTTTTTTTTTATGACAGACAGCGAGATGATGCTGTCTGATGAATCGGCGCGGGATCTAAACACTAGGGTTTGAGGAGGTAAAAATGTCGAGTAAGCAGTGTTTGCCTTTTTGCTTACTTGCTAGCTTCCTTGTTTGTTTCAGTATTTTTGTTTTGTTTTTTGTTTTTTTTTTTTTTTTCATTTCGGGTGAAGGTTGGCCATGGATGTTTTCTCAATGGTGTGAAAAAGATATATATAAAATTTAACTTGAATCTTTAATAGAGTTATTAGAAACAAATAGATAGATAGATAGATAGATAGATAGATAGATAGATAGATAGATAGATAGATAGATAGATAGATAGATAGATAGATAGATAGATAGATAGATAGATAGATAATGAACATACTAAGATAGATAGATAGATAGATAGATAGATAGATATGGGAAGACTGAGATAGATAGATAGATAGATAGATAGATAGATAGATAGATAGATAGATAGATAGATAATGAACATACTAAGATAGATAGATATATAGATAGAAAGATAGATAGAGATGGGCAGACTGAGATAGATAGATAGATAGATAGATAGATAGATAGATAGATAGATAGATATGATCGAACCGGGTTATTATAGACATGAATAAAGGAGATAGATAGATAGATAGATAGATAGATAGATAATGAACATATTAAGATAGATAGAGATGAGCAGACTGAGAAAGATAGATAGAAAGAAATAAAGAAAGAAATGAGCAGACTGACATAGATAGATAGATAGAGATGAGCAGACTGAGATAGATAGATAGATAGATAGATAGATGGATGGATGGATGGTTTCGTTTTGTTCACTTACGAGCAAATACGCTTGGAAAAGGATGAATCCACCTCTTCTCTCCCCAGCTATGGGTTAATTAGTATGACTTGTATCCTTAAACCATTATTATCTCAAAAAGGAAAAAAATCATTCAGTTTTCTAGCAAGAGTCAAACGATTATCCGTCTTTTCATTTTATTTCAGTTCTAGCGAAATCCATTAACATGTTTTCTTGTTATTTTCGTCAAGCTTACGGCCACATCACATTGAAACACCTGTTCCCGTATGATCACCAAAGTTAAGCAACGTCGAACCTGGTCAATACCTGGATGTGTTACCACTTGGGAATACCAGGTGCTGTAAGGTTGGACGTGCGGGTGGTCTAATGAAAAATTGTTAATCGTAGAGCCGATAAATAACTTAGACAATTTTAGAACATCTCACGTGTTTAAATAAGGAGCCAAGACTAGTGAATAGTAACTGTAATATTAGTAATTTCCTTATAAGGAAACATTTGGCATTCAGTCACCGATGAACCTGTGCTTTGCTTCACTACCTGGCCATCAGGGTGGGATCAAAGTGTAGTATCTGTTCACCTAATCTCTAATGATAATAGGAATAGCAGCCATTTCCTTATAAGGAAACATTTGGCATTCAGTCACCGATGAACCTGTGCTTTGCTTCACTACCTGGCCATCAGGGTGGGATTAAAGTGTAGTATCTGTTCACCTAATCTCTAATGATAATGGGAATAGCAGTCATTTCCTTATAAGGAAACATTTGGCGGTAATTGACAGATCAACCTGTGCAGCTTGAGTTACGCTTTGCTTCATCTCTGGCCGCCAGGATGGGATCAAAATGTAGTATCTGTTCTCCTAATCCCTAATGATAATCGAAATAACAGCCGTTTCCTTATAAGGAAACATTTGACCAAGCGGACAGTACTACTAAGTGAGGCTGTCGATTAAAATTTATAAAACCTTGCTCATAAAACAATTTTTCTTAATTCCAGTAGCTGTTATAGCTCTTTCCAGTACTGATAGGGGGGTTTCCTTACTAACCTTTTATTCGAAGTAGTGTGGAATTTCAAAATCATGATTATGTCATTATTTTCTCTTGGAGTTATATTTGATATCCATTTTAGTTGTTGTTATTGGTAGTCCTCAAGTGATCTGGTTTCTATTACTTGGTACAGTTCTTTGTTTGTGATTGTCTAGCGCCAGTCCATGAAAATTCGAAGAAGGATGGTCCTCGCGAAGACCTACAGTATTTATTCACTTGATGCCACTTTTAATCATTAATATGAGAAAGCAGTTGTATAATTTCTGGACGGGTTTAGCGCCACGCATGACATCTATATGAAAGTCTCTACTCAAAGAGGCTATTGAAGAACAGGACTTTTCAGCTTAAAATTTTGGTTTTGTAATATACTTAATTTGTTATAACTGATCCATACACCGATGTAGTTGTATCTGTTCCCCTCTGCATCAAGAATAATTCGACTTCACCTCGAAGTATTAAGGTGCACATGCGTGCAGCTGCTGCCTACTACACTGGTGTGCCTGCTAATGATTTGAAAGAAAATTCCCAGACTGCTCTTCTGGAGCCACACGCAGGTCAGTTTTCTTAGCTGTACTAAATGTTTCATTATCAGAGAAGTAAAAAGTAATCTGATGGACAGACTAAATGTTGGTCTTTCATCACAAGAAGACAAAGGTGGGGAGATAGAATAATGTTTTGCGCAAGTATTGTAGGTAGTAAAACTATAGTAATGATAATAGTAATATTCACCCTTTCCTTATAAGGAAACATTCGCCATTCATTGACCGAGCAGCCAGTGCTACCGTCAGTTGAAATTTACGAAATCTTTTTCTAAAAAGAATTTTTCGGGAAAATTGGTTTCTCAAGTCCAGTAGCTGTTATTGCTCTTTCCAATATTGAAGGAGGGGGGTCCTTACTAACCTTTTATTCGAAGTAGTGTGGGATGTGAACATCATAGTTATGTTATTGTTTCTCTCTTGAGATACATCTGCTATCCATTTTAGTTGTTGCTGCTGTTGAAAGTTCTTAAGTGTTGTGGTTTCTATTATTTGGTACAGTTCTTTGTGATTCTGTAGCGACAGTCTATAATGTCTGAAGAAGGATGGTCTTCGCCAAGATCCAGAGGCTTTATTGGCTCTAAGCCATTGTCAACCATTGATCTTAGAAAGCGGTTTTAATTAGGCTGACACTTTAGATATTTCTGAATGGATTTGGCGCCATACATGACACCCATCTACAAGTCTTGATCTGACGAGACTATAAAGACGGACATTAAAGATGCAGTACAAGATAGGAAGTTGTGGCGAGCCATGGGCACCTACTTAATGAGTTTATTTGAATGGATAATAAAACAAGAACATGGACGCTAAAGGAGCAAAAGTTACTTAGAGCAGTAAATGTGAGGAAGTTGTGGAGAGCCATGATAGCCATGAGCATCTACTTAATGAGTTTATTTGAATGGATAATAAAACAAGAACATGGGCGCTAAAGGAGCAAAAGTTACTTAGAGCAGTAAAAGTGAGGAAGTTGTGGAGAGCCATGATAATCAATGTCATGAAAGGATATAAGGAAGAAGACACAGAAGAATAATAGTTTCTCAGGTCTCTTTGACGGCTGTTTGCCCTCTAAGACGCTGTGTTAGTTTTGCAATTTTGTCCAGGTGATGGTTAACGTGATTCTATTTCATGCTCGCTGCGTGACTCTTCGTTTGAGGGACATATTCCTTTTGAAGTTTCGTGTTTCAGCTCCGTTGGTGATTGTTACGAGGATCGCTACGTGTACGCAAGACTCAAAGAAAAATATCACGAATATTTACTCTGTACTTTTATGATGTGTGCATGCTGTAAGACATTGCAGCTCGGAATGAGAAATCTGAGAGCCGAGATCGAATTCCAACAGCGTTCGTGACATTCGTTTACACACACCAAATACCGTTGGGAAAGAATCCATCTTTCCCGTCCCTTTTTTTTGAGTTAAATAACACCGCGGATTATAGCCTTGGTTACGAAGCATTTTAGAGATGGTGACTCGATAGATTTTCTTAAATTTTAAGGTTTCTAATTCATCAGTTTTCCCTTAATACGAAAATGTCATCAATATATTTGACATATATTGAATGTTTGTCACAATGGTAACATTTACACGCCATCTTTCTTGACAGACAGACGGCGTAGGCACGGACTCACTTCTGGATCCCATTTTAAATGAGCTGTTTTCTGATTGGTTAACCTATGCATACCCATGAAACATTAAATCTTTCCCTCCGCCTTTTAAATCTTAAATAAATTTCCGTATTGTTTTCTGTTTTCAAAAGTAAATCTTTTTTATCATAAGTTACCAAACATCGACTTTTTCAGTTGGTTAACTTTGGTGATTGTACGGCAACTAGTGCTTCAGCGCGATGTGATCGAAAGACAGCATGACAGGAGGAGTCAAGTACTTTCCGGAACGGTAAAAGGATCTGAACATTTTTCCAGAATTTTTTTTCGCCAGAACATTTTTCCATGGAAATAACGATAGAGAGAAGCGAGAGGCTTGTGACACTTTGTCTGTTGTAGTGTGGAAAGTAAAATCCTTGCCCACAAGGCCGGCTAGACGCCTGTGACCTCTCTCAAGGCCGGAAAGAAAGGGCTCGGCAGTTTCAGTCCTCGTATGGCAGCTATACTTCATTTTCAGACGAACCTGACTTTTGTAATGACAGTGTATGCCAGCATTGCTTTGGTTTGGTTGTTTCATTTTTTATGAGTTATCAATCCTTTGCAGGTTATTTAAAGCCATGAAATATTTTTAGATTGCAAGATTTTTTTTGTTGGTGGAGGAGATAATAATGGTTTAGTGATACAAGTCTTATTAATTAACCCATAGCTGGGGGAGTTAAGCAGTGAATTCGTACGTTTTCCAATGGTATTTGCACGTAAGTGAATAAAACTAACCCAACAGAAATAGGAACTCGAGTCTCCGATTAACAATTTCGAGCCATTATCCATTATATCAGCCACACATCCAAGCTTACAGCTCCTGGTATTCCCAATTGGTCACCCATCTAGGTACTGACCAGGTTCGACGTTGCTTAACATCAGTGATCGAACGGCAACTACTGATTCAATGCGATTTTTCGAAAGACATCATAACAGGAGTAGTCAGGTATTTTCCTGAGAGCTACAAGGATCTGGCCATTTTTCCACCATCTTTAGCAACGGGCTTCTACTTCATGTCTAATATACTCAATATATATAAACCTAAAGTTTAGTATAGCTTTAGGAGATTTTTTTTAAAGCCACGTCCCTTCAGGACGTCGGTGAGTATGGCTTACAGTAGGATCCCTTTGAATTTCCATGCCTTCTTAAGCATGATGGTGGAGTGGGTTCCTTTCTCCTTTTCGACGAAATGGAATCCACGAGTTTTCCTTCTCATAGACTGGTTGCCAGCTACGGCTATATAGCTGGGTTATTCAATCCATATACGAGATTTGTCTGAAAAGTGACGGGACTACATGTATGAGCTATGGATATCATCCCTAGGTAGTTCTTGCCACAGGGTCATATTCTGGACAATCAATTCATTGGACCACCGATCTCTCCAGTATCTCCTTCAATAGTTTTGGCATAGATCCAAGTGCTCCTGTTATTATGGGCACAACCGTAATTTTTATATTCTAGAGATTCATCAATTTTTGACCGAGATCGTGGCATATTTATTTTTAATTTTTATTGGTTCTTCTTCTTCTTCTTCTTCTTCTTAATAGTAATACTAATAATACTAATAATACTCAGAATAAGAATAATAAGAATAGTAGTTGTAGTACTAGTAGTATTAAAATGAAAACATTGACCTATATTTATTGCATTGGTTACCTGCAAGTATCGATTCTCCCACCTCTTCAATATCTCTTTTCATATTTTTGTCATGGATTCAAGTGCTCCTGTTATTATGGGTAATTTTTTTTTATTTTTAATATTCTAGTGATTCATTATTACTTAGTCGAGTTTGTGGTATTTTTCTTTTTACTTTTTACTGATTCTTTTCCTACCTCTTCTGAATAATAATAATAATAATAATAGTAGTAGTAGTGGTAGCATTAGTAGTAGTAGAAGTAAAAGTGACAACCGAAATTTATTGCATTGGTTACCTATAAGCATGTTTTATCTTATTAAAACTATAAACTGCTGACCTAATTATTATCATACGCAATAAGGCATCTAATTAACGACGCAGTGGATGTAAGTAACAGCCTGTAAAGGCATGTCTATTAATACGTTTATATCTGCAGATCATGTACACACACACACACACACACACACACACACATATATATATATATATATATATATATGTGTGTGTGTGTGTGTGTGTGTATAAATAAAAAGAAAGAACATTAAGATATATAATCCGGTGTTCTTATTGATATTTTTTTTATTAAATGTCAATTTACAGAGCATAAATATTATAAATTAACTGATTTAAAATATGGTTTCTTCGCTACACAGTAATAACCATGTTTCAATATATATATATATATATATATATATATATATATATATGTGTGTGTGTGTGTGTGTGTGTGTGTGTGTGTGTGTGTGTGTGTGTGTGAGGGTGTGTGTGTATTTATACAGCAAATTCTCTTTTACTGATTGATAACACAACACTCCTAAACTAAGACGATAACAAATTGAAACCTACAGATCCTCGAAGTATTCTTCATTAAAAATTTGAAGCTGACACTGAATAGAATAGATAGATAGATGGATGAAGGCTACGTCTCATCACTGCTTTCATTCGGATTCCAGATCATAGTTTCTGTTTTGGAAAGTTTTATCTTGAGTCCTATTTATTGGAATACTTGGTGTGATATAAGTAGAGTAAGACGTCTTGATAATGTAGTTGTCGTATGTCCAACACACACACACACACACACACACACACACAAATATGAACATTTTTTCTTTCAGTGATACATTCTTCCAAGGCACATTTGAATTTATATATATACTAGCAGCATGGCCCTGCGTTGCCCGTGCTTGATTCAAAAATCGTACGACTCATACAGCAATCGCTATCACTTTACTTAAAATATTTTTGCCCTTCCTTGCCTTTAAAGGAGTGCCCTTTGCCGTGCTGATGTTGCTACATGCCTTACTTCTTGCCTATCTCACACTGCGAATTTTTTCTAAGCTCTATATTAAACATTAAATCTGTTACGAAAAAAGAACTAAACAAAATGAACACAAAACGATCAGCTTTAATAAAAGGACTCGTAACTGGAAAAACCAAATGAAAAAAGAATGTTAACAACAAATACTTTTTCACACCCAACCCAGTTCTGCGGAATGAGAATCAACGTTGAGTTTAAGCAAGCGAATGAGCCAATTGAAGTAAAGTGCCATTCAGATTTAAATTTTTCCCACTTGTGACAAATGCAGCTATCGATTTTTTTTGCATGCTAGCATGCTAGTTAACATTCGTGTCAGTCAGCTGCTGGCTCACACGATGGCCGATAGAATATTCCTGCCTATTCGTGGCAGCCAGCTATAGGCTCTCACTCTGGCCAGTAGAAAATGGCCGCAAACAACATAAAAACTGCCGTAGAAGCATGAAAAAATCGATTATTTCCACTATCGATGGGAGTTGGGAAATGTAAAGCCGGTATTGGCCTTCCCACTAACTTGGAGCATGTGCATGTAAATTTTGGTGCAAATCCGTCGAAAATTGCGGCCGTGCATTCGTTATACACACACACATCCTGCCTTTTATAGATAGAGATGTTGGTTAAAAAAAATGCTGTTCATTATAATGGCCAGAAACATATGTAATGATTGTAGTCCGTATAGTAGACTGCATACATCTCTTGTTTGTAAGGTGACTGGGTATTTATAATAGTAAAGAGCCTGAACTTTTCGTAGTTATAAAAAAAAGAAGTCTTTTTACAGATCAGTTTGTCCTTGGCACACCGGATAGTTTTAATTAAAATCTAGGTTATTCGAGAAAATAAAATTAAAGACGTGAATTAATACTTATAACCTAGTTAACAAGCTTAATGTCAAGTCAAGCAACGTCTTCTGGTATGTGACATATTGCTTAGGTCTTATGGAAGACAATCTTTCTTTAGGTTCTAAAGACAGCCGCTAAAAAAAAAAAAAAAAAAAAAAAAATTCTTAAAGAGCTCCTCCCACCCTGCCGCCGCTCAGGTCACTTGAACACTTCCAGCAACAACAAAAATAATTGGGGACTGCAGTGTTTCTCAACATTTTCCAATTCAGAGCGCATTTGTCGAATAACTAAAACTCTATGGCATAATTTAATAAGGAAAAATAAACCCTGAAATATGAAAAAAGGCAAATAATAAAAACAAGTTTCCTGAAATAAGCATTTATTTCTAAGAGCATTGTGTAGCATTTTTTTTTTTATTTAATGTTGTGTTTTTCATCTTTTGTTACTTCAGTCCGCTAACTAAAACTCTGGGGCATACTTGAAAATTTAATAAGGAAAAAATAGTCCTGAAATATGAAAATATGTAAATAATAAAGAAGTTTCTTGAAATAAGCATTTATTTATAAGACATTACGTTGCTTGGTGTCCCTAGATTTAAAAAAAATCTCTTGAGGTAGGGTATGCGTTGGATTCCCCTGTTCCTCTTGCCTTCAATATGACCAGTGAATTACCCTTTTCTCTACAGCATCGTCGTTGCTCACGATTTCAGGGAATGGTATTTTCAGCATCCTTCTATCGAAGCACATTTTTTTTGTCTCAAGTCTCTCCTTAATCTGTGAGAAGATTGTCCGGCATTCATTGCCATATAGAAGGACCGATATCAAAAACCAATTCAGTGATCTATTCTTTGTTTTTTAAATAATATTTCTTAATAATTCGCTTACATCTTCCGCTATTCGAAATTCAGATTTCACAGAACTCAATAGTACGAAAGGCCTGCATCACATAATATGCCATGTATTCTTATCTATCTATATATTTATGCATATATCTATCTATCTATCTATCTATCTATCTATCTATCTATCTATCTATCTATCTATCTGTATCCGTCTATATTTCTGAGATGTGGTATTATGTACGCTATTTACATTATTACAGATTATTTAAATATACAAATAATTCATAAATTACACTTCTGTTAACTTTCGGGGTGCTCCTGGCTACCTTTCATGACGTATCAGTGTTCCCTGTTACACCAATTGAGAAATGCTAGCCTAACTCTTCAAGTTTTGAATTGAATTCCCAGACCACCTAAACACATTTGATTATAGCATATGACATTTTTGTTTAGCTTTCCCAAAGAATATTATTAGCAATACAGTTTTCATTTAAAGGGATTTATGAATTCTTTTAGACATCCTGATTTTAAATCCCTTGAGAAAGGCAAAAGAGAAAGGGTTATCAGCTCCTTTTTAAAGATTAAAGAATTTAGCGTCCAGTTTAAAATATCAAATGGCAAAGACTTTTTAAAAAATAAAGATTTTTTTTTTAAATATAAAAATAATTCATAAATTACTCTTCTATTAACTTTTAAGAAGTTTCTTGAAATAAGCATTTATTTATAAGACATTACGTTGCTTGGTGTCCCTAGCTTTTTAAAAATAAAGATTTTTTTTAAATATAAAAATAATTAATAAATTACTCTTTTATTAACTTTCGGGGCGCTCCTGGCTACCTTTCAGGGCATATTTGGGGTAACGGATAAAATTAGAAAGAATAATAATGATACGAGGTGTGCCAGAAATACATCCTACATTTTAAAGGTATCCAAAAAATAAAAAAATAAAAAAAATAAAAATAAATAAAATAAAAAAAATAAAACAAATAAAAAATAAAACAAGGTAACTGCTATTCAAAAATGATTTCACTGTTGCTTAAACAGACGACTCTGGTTTTTATTCATTTGGTCTTTCTTTTTTTTTTTTTTTTTAAAAAGGGACATCCTCTAAATAGTGGCCTGTATTGGCCATACACAATTTCTAAAGTTTTCCATCATCCGGATGATCGAGAGCTTTGACCTCTTCCAATTGGCTTTCTTTTCGGCGCTGAACCTGTGGCCCAGGAATTTTCAACCCATAGCAGTATCGATTTTCTGTCCGGCATAGCATCATCCCAACATAAGATGAAATAAATGATATTCCTTAACATTCACTAACCTCTTGCATCTCAGTGGCTTTATTGCCTTGCTTATGTCAAATGGTAATGATAATCAGGTAGCCTCAGGATTGGTGCCATAACCAATTTCAGTCTTCCCAGAATAGCACAGTTTAACGTTCTTCTTGTATATGCCATGTCCCTTCATGACGTTGACGATCATGGCTCTCCACAATTTCCTGTCCATTGTAACTCTTAATACATTTTGTCCTTTTGTTATCGTTCCTAAACCTTCTCCCTGCATCCATTTACTCGCTAGGTAATTTATTGTCTTCTGTCTTTCTTTTTATCAATCTGCCCCGTCAGTACGAATTTTTCAGGCCATCGTTCCACATTATGCGTCTTAGAAATTTTTAAATGTGACTTTTTTGACTTTGAGTGAAACTTAAATGGCGAATAGTGATATTTCTCACTCACTATTATCTTGAGAAAGTCAAGTTAGTTTGAATTAAAAACAAAATTTCTTTACTATTTTAACTATGTTAAAACATATATAAATATGTCTCCGGTGGGATATACTTATGTCAGTAATGTTGGAAAGCATGGTGGAGTAATAGATAGCGGCTCGGATTGAGGAATCAGAGAGCCGAGTTCGAATCCATTGCTGTTATGATGTTGATTTGGGGTTAGTAGAGACAAACGCCAAATAACACGTGTGACGTCGTCCCCCGGTCGCAGCGCCGACTGTGACGTTCTATCCTGATCTACCACGGCGCCAGTTGTGACGTCCCTAAACAGCACCAGTTGTGACGTCTTCGCCGCGGCGTCAGCTGTTCGCTCCTCGCCGCTGCTCCAAACGTGACGTTCTAACCCTTTGGTGATTCGGGTAGGAATCTGGTTAGATTGATACCAGCCTCGCCGTTCCCAACCTGCTTCCAACGCCTGGTTACCAGGGTAACTGCACTGATCTCCAGTCTGCCTACCCACGTTGTGAATTGACCGAGCTCGCCAATTAGATCATCTTGTGCTGCCCCCCTAACTAATACTTGATACAATGCCTTACGAGACAACGCCTGGGCGTTGGAGAGGCCATCCGTAGCCCGCAAGAGGAGCTTCAGAGCGCGACGACATTCACGATAGAAGGAGCACTCGGCTCGTGGTGTACGGCCGGCCTCTTCTTCGCACGAGTGCACACTTCTCAGGGACGGGAAATGTTTCTGGACGTCTTCTTTCCAAAAGGCACCCTCCTCATCCGACCCGCAGAACTTTTCTGTCCTCTCTCTCTCTCTCGCTTTTGACATGCCACTATTTAAAGTCTTTGTTCGCAGACAAGTTCATCTTCAAGAGGGGTGGTAGGTTTCCGACACAACAATTGCATTCACTTCCGTCCTAATACCCTTAGAAAAGGTATGAATCCATTTCTTCTCCTTACCTCAGCTATGGGTAAATAGCAGAACAGACCGGGTTCTAGAGCCTTGGATGGCAACTGGTCTACCGCAGAAAGAAATGGCAACCTACTGACTGAACGCTGGAAGCCATCTGGACCATCTATGTTATTTTTTTTCTATCACCAGACAACAAAATCTTTTCCCACTTTTCTATGTCTCATGTTTGGTGCTGCAGTATTTGCTTTCTTCATTAGTTTTGTACGAGTTGGCGATCATGGTTCTCCACCATTTCCTGCCATTTGTAGCTCTTAATACATTTTGTACTTTTGTCATCGTTCCCGGCATCAATTTACTCAAGCTCGCTAGGTAATTTATGCGTTATCGTCCTTTGTCTCTGTTGCCTTCAATCTGTCCTGTCAGTATCATATTTTCCAAACCTTCTTTCCTCATTATGTGCCTTAAGAAATTTCAACTGTCTCTTCCCGGTGTTAAGTATGAATGATAATACCTTTTACGAAAAGTTGAACAGAGAAGTATAAAGACTAAAAGTTAAATGACCCATTCGTCCCCACTCCCCCCCCTCA